ACACGCACACACACGCTCACCCTTACTCCAGCACGGGCCAGCGCAGGCAGGGGGCAAACACGATGTGACGCCCGCACTCATGCAGCCCTTTACAAACAGGACTGCAGCTCCAGATGCTCGTTTAAAGCAGTTTTCAGTAAGTCAGAGCATGTTACTCTCAAACGCACACGCGTGGAACTTGCCCAAAGGGATCATATGACGAGCGTACGCTCCGCATAGCACAGCGGCAAAGTCACTAAAGATGTAGCTGTCAACAATGATTGAAAAACTCTGATAATGACCGTCTGGTTGAAACGGGGTGAATGCGCGATACAGGTTCCTCTGCATTTGATATCCTAAAGAAACATCCAACTCCCATTTGACTAAATATTAGTGAGTTTTGCCCATAGTCAAACAGAAACCACTGGAAAATATGCCAAAAACAAAAGTACTCATTGTAAAATCTTATCTTAAATATAGCGCTTTGTCATTGCGCCAGTGATGGGAGAGGATTAAAATCCTCTTCACCAAATCTAGTTTAACATTTCCCCCACAGGGAGCAATGTGCAGCATGTTCCATATTGCAGTCATCTACAGTACAGAGAGATTAGTGAGCTTAGTCCATCTGGAAAGGGTTCATCCGCCACTGATAGGGGAATTCTCAATATACAGTGTATTTGACACGGGCTCCCCCTCCATTCAAGATTATCAAGCTTTGTTGCCGGATCAAGGAAGGTGAAAGTCAATTGCAAGACATGGGGAGAACCCATAGATAATATAATAGTCAAAAGATTTTATACTTGAGCGACTAATTCATTTTATGTTTTTGACCTACATTGTTTGAATTTGCTTCATTTATGTAGGCATTGTAATGTGCTGATTACACAAATGTCTTTTGGCTTAAGGGTCAGTTTACCCAAAATAAAAATTCTGTCACCATTTATTCAAACCCATATATATGTATAGGTAGATGTCACATTCGACCTCTCCAGACACGTCAACGCGTCCGCCATCTTTGAACGGTCTATATGTCGTCACTCACAATAAAAATCAATGAATTTCAAGATGCAACAACATACCACAGCATCTGGTTGTAAAAACCACCTAAATTTAAATTCCTGAAGAAACTGGATAAACTTTCACAGGTAAGAATGTGTTGGTTTGGGTTTTTAATATGTATTAACTCAATATTACAGGTACTAAAGTACCTTTTAAATGCCTTGTTAGCTAATGGCTTCGTCTTCTTGTATTGTGTTAAGCAAAAGCATCTTCTGAAGTCTACTGAAGATACAGGTATCCATGTGTGTATAACTACAGTTGTAGTGCAGATGCACCGGCACCTTGCTCTCGAGTGTTCACGGACCGGCTTTGACATTCCAATATGGCGGACGGCTTATGTATAGTGGCCCATAGAAACAGCCGCTAATAGGGCATCTAGCTATACATATCTATGTTCAAACCTGTACAACTTTTGTGTTCTGTTGAGCACAAAATCCGTTTTTTTCTCCATACAGTGAATCAATGGGGTCCAATAATCAATAGATTTTTATACTGGTAAGTCTTACTCAATCCATTTCCTGTTTTTGATTAATAGTATTTGCCTAATTTATGTACTTTTATGTACTCTTTTTGTTCTGTGGAACACAAAATATGTTTTTGTCCATACAATTAAAGTCAACAGGATCCGTTAGTCAAGAGATTTTATAATGGCATGCCTTATAGTGAATTAACCAGTTTTCCACTTTGCAAATATTTGCTTAATTTATGTAGGTATTGTAATGTACAGGTGACATAAATGACTGTTGACTTAAAGAGACAGTTCACCTCAAATAAAAATGATGTTATGATTTATTCATGTTATTAAGTTATTGTCCATAAAGTGAAAATCAACGAAGTCCAAATGTTTTGGGCCTCTATTGATTTCCGCTGCATGGACAAAAACGGTTTAAAATATGTTGCATGTTTCGCAGAAGAAAGAAAGTCGTACAGGTTTGGAACGACATTGGATCAAGTAAATGGCAACATTTAAATTTTTTTGTCGAACTATCCTTTTAAAGTCTATCTTTTGTCATCTTCAAAACAGGCCCCTGGTGACATGATTAAATGAGTCACTAAAATTAATATGCTGATGTATCCAATTAAAGCAGGCCTTTTATTTCGTTAGCAAGAGGTTAATGGGCGTACACTACACTACACCACCCTAATTAATTTGCATAGGTCCAAAGCAGAGGTAAAAAATGCATTTAAAACATGACTGCATCATTAAACGACACAGCGCACAGCCAGGGACCGACCCTTACAACGTTAGCTCCACCACAAAAGATAAGAGATGAGGTGAAACAATCTAATCGCTGTTGTAAACAAGCCCTCCAACACAATCCAATTCTCCAACCAAAGTCTCCTAGCATATGAAACCACACGGATGTCAATTGCAGATCCCTTACAGTCATCTTTAACCAAGGAGACGGAGCACATTATACAGTTAATAGAGCATAAAGATAAGGTATCAATGGCTGCAAGCTGATACAGAGCAGACCCTTTTGGCTTTCCAATTCAGACTTGTAAGAGCATTAACCATAATAACACAAAATAAGGCCCTTTCTCTAACCCCAGCAGGGCAAAAATATCTCATTACCCGTAGCACTGTTATTCTTTGCGGTGCGGACTGCCTCTCCCTCTGAGAGCCCCACACCTGCTTTGCTAAAGAAGGTTATTACCACAACTGCCTGTCGAGAGAATGACGGAGTGGACGTGTGGAGAGAAAGGACGTATTTAATCCACATACCACCCTTTCCTGCCTGAGATCTACAAACACGTACACACGCTCTCACCGCACTGCAAATTTTTCCATGACGACGGAGATAAAGCGAGCAGCACATATATCTAAATGAAAAGGCTAGTCATTCATCAATGAGCCATTTAATATGCAGCTATCCCTTTTTTATCCGCATAAAATACGAGTCTGAGTGTTTTATTGGCAACAGCGGTCAGCTGACAGATCACCTCGGTCATGAAGCTGACAACACACAAAATGACAAAAAGTTGCCTGCTTTCCGCTCAGCAGGAGCTTCACGGGCCAGATTTGCATTAATAACCAAAGCAAGGACAGATTTAGGCTAAGATGAGTTTAAAACGATGCTGTTGTTTTAATGAACACCACGTTGGCTCTATATCTATTTCATTCGAGGAATTAAGCCTTCATAATGGCTTTCTTGTCCTGCATGGTGCCTTTGGAGATTTGTTCTAATAACAAAACAGCCAAAGACGTAATGAAAGGTCATCTGCACAATTCTGACACAAAAATAATTGAAATCTATGGTTCCATGAAGAACTTCTAACATCCATGGAACCATTCCATTGCACAAAATGTTCTTTATAGTGGAAAAAGTTTTATTAGATGATTTAAATATTATTTGCAAAAAAAAAAAAAAGGTTATTTTTCATCAAAGGTTCTATGGGGAACTCAAAATAGTGGTTCCTTTATTTTTAAGTGTAGTTCAGTTAATCTAATAAAATACATGGTAGATTTTTTTTTATCTAACCAATCTGATAAAGAATTCATTTTTCCACTGACAAATAAAATCATCAAAGCAGTCTAAAGTGGAAAAAAAGAAAGCAGGCAGCGCCAACGCCTAGCACCGCTAGCCTCAAGATCCTCCAATATTAAATAAATAACACTAATGATTCAGAGCGACACGTCCCGTGGCCTCCACCATCTCCACATATCCTTATGTGTCATCCAAAAGCGTGTGACGGAGGCCACTCAAAGCTACGTGGGCAGGTCTGTCCTGACTCACCCGGCAAAGATGCGCATTTCTACCAGCACAGGAGCTGGAGAGCGGTGCATCTTGATTTTAAGCAAGCTGCTGAGCATCTGAGGGCCCTGCCCTTTTGTCATAATCTCATCAAATCCACTAGACGATGCATTTCGCTGAGAGCCCAGCGAACACCGTACCACAACATGACTGTTCTAGTTTGAACATTTGTCAGTGAAACATACTGTCTCTCAGTTGTGCTTTAGGAGGGCAAAATTTACTCAGTGGGTATGTAGTTTCCTTGGCAACATGGTGCCTCTTCGGCTTACGGCCTAACCCAGACAATATCCATCAATATCAAGATCAGTCCACAGAGACGGTTGTAAAAATGAAGAAAAAGATGGAAAGAACATAAAAACAGTGAAATCAGACACCAAGGGAGTAAGTCAAACTAGGAAACCAACCAGAACATACATATTCAAAAGGGAACAGACTTTGCATGAAAATCTGAATTGTTGTAATATGCGTTCAACCATCCGTTTTCAAAAGATAGAATCAGAAACGGCCTCCCCCTATTTAGTTACATCATCAATCGCTTTAACCACTTCTGTAATTAAAATAACTCTGTAAGTGCAGTAGTGGAGGTTTACTTGTAAAGCTGGATTAAAAAATGCTTTGTGATGGTTGCTGAATGCTGTATTGAGTATGTCATTATTTTTCCTGTGATATTGAAATTGTAACTTTGGCTAAGTCATTACAGTGACTCTATGAAACATCTGGCTAATTATATAATTAGAGCATCCAACCCCTTAGATTCAGACGGAAAATAATATTAAAATCATCATACTTCAATCGTGGGCTTGTGTGCATGTATTCAACTCATCATTTTTGTACTTAATTGTAATGCCAGTGCAGTGTCAAGAGTAAATGAAGTTAATTTAGCATAAAAAAGAGCAAGAAGCCTCTGCTGACGTCATGCTATCAAAAACACAGGCTTTCGTGGATGCTCCGGAATTGACACAGATGGCACTAAAGCCTATTTAAATGATCTCCTTCAGATCAACGGCTTTCTCCGACCGAGATCAGTGGTAATCTAATCATGTAATGTACTGGGCCCATAGTGGAGGCCGGGAACAGACATGATGTAGCATGCACTGCCTCTGAGGAACTATTGCAATGTTAAAATGAAAAAAGAAGTGAAAAGGCTGTGTTTGAAAAGACATTTCAACACCTCAACAACGGAGACGACGAATCCAGACCTCTTACCTTCACTGCAGTCTTTTCCCTGGAATCCCGTTTTGGAGCAGTCGCAAATGGGCTCGTCGTTGACGATGCTGCAGACTCCTCCGTTCAGGCAAATGTGGTCAGCTTCGCAAATGTCGCTGTTGACTCCCTCGCTACCGATAAGCGGCGGCTCGGAACTGTTCACCCTCAGATTGGTTATCCATCCTTTGTAGGGGACCTGATCTTTGATGGCTGAAGACGTGAGGCGTAATGCTACAGATCGCAGTTCAGGAGGTAACCCTCCTAAGAATAAATGGCTGAAGACCGTCATGTCCCTCCTTTTCGACTTAACCTCCACCCACTTGATCTCTTCGTCCACAACTAACATAGTGTTTTTGAAATTCCTGCGCAAGGTCACGGCGTGCCAGCGGCTGTCATTGACGGCGGTATCGGACAGCACCGTCGCCGGCTCGGCGCAGAAGATGGAGAACCGCAAACTGAGTCTACCGTTGTGGATGAGCAGTTCCAAGAAGTCACAAAATCCCTCGTCGTCAAAGTACACTAAAAGTCCATGAGCGCTTTTGGTCTTCATGTTGAAACTCATTTCGCTTTCACAGCAGGCGTTCCACATAGGAAACCGTGCCCACTGGCCTTCTGCGCCGGTGAACTCCATACTGGCCCCCATGTCGACAAGGCAACAAACCAGTAAGCCTATCCAGATTAGATGTGCGCCGTTCCGCATTGAGAAGCTCATTGTGAATAGTAAAGGAAGTTAGAACTAACAATAGAACTAATCGAAAACTAAAATGATTCAGCTCTCTTAGTGATGTGCTCCTAAAGTGTAACAGAGCTCCCTATAACATACAGGACTGCTATGCATTTGAGGTAATTTACTCATTGTTCACTGAGAGAGGGAGAAGGCCTGTGTTATGGCCAACTCTTTTTCAAAATCTAAATATACAAATCAGAACAATAAAGGGTGTCGCTAAGGCCCAAATACTGGTCTACTAAAATAAAAAATAAGGCTACTGTTTAGCTTAAAAAAAAAACTTCAGTGAGATCCAGATGTGCTACAGTGGGGCCAAGTCATCAAAGTATCTATAAATTGCAGCCATGTGTAGTGCTGTACAGCAGAGTGTCCATTAGGGGTATACAGAGTCATTAATGTCAGGGTCTTTTAAGTCTAGTCAAAAGTCATTGTGTAGGCCTAAAGTCAGCACTAATCAAACGTAGACAAAAAGTACACTTTGCAAAGTTAACGTGCAGGCCCGAATAGGGCCCTCAGTGTTCACAAACCTTCAATTCACATCCGTTTTGACATACTGATCCATAATCTGAAAAGAATGAAAAAGAATATCTTAATTTCTTCATAGGAAACGAAAGAGAAGATGGCTACTTTTAAAAAGATAGCATACACACAACACAATCATTCATACACAAAACCACAATTTCACAGTGATATTGATATTGAAACCACTAATTTCACACTGATATTGATTGCATTAATCTTCAATTACAGCAGTACTTTTTATTTGCTTTTCTCCGTTTTTCTTTTCTCACTATAATTCTCAGTGATTAGAATTCATGGCTTATGAACCAGAAAACTCCAGAGCATTTCATCATGTGGCTGTTGTTTTTTTCCCCAGTATCAAATACACTGATTTAATAATCAAAAAAGGCAAAAATAAATCGATAATTTTCAGAGGTATACTGGGTTAAATCAGAGTAGCTTAAACTAAAATAAATGGTATAAAATGGTATCCAATTGAAAATTAATTTTATTTTGAATTAGACTATGGCTATTCCATACCATTTTGTTTTCATTTTAAAGAGATTCTCTTTCATTTTAAAGACATGTACAGGAAAAAAAAAACTTTACTGTAAAAATACAGTGATTATTACATGAAGCATTCTGGTCATTATATATTTTACACTTCCAAACTATAGGCTATATATATTATTTGATATATATGGTTAATATGCCAACCTATTTTAAAATCATTTTGTTTCTGTAAATAGAAATTCTAACAACACAGGTAAAATAATGGAAGACCACGTGACGGCTTAAACGTCATAAAAATTGGTCTCTTCAGCAACTGTGTCAATAATAATAAAAAGACAGAGCACAGTGTGAACACAAAAGCACAAAACAATATTAGAATAACACATACACTAAAATAATGCAGTAAATATTAACTAATTAATATGACATGCAACATAAAACCCTCCAATGATAAATGTAGATATATGTAAATCATCTCCATAAAATATTTAATTTACACTTTTTTATGTATTAAAAAGTTATGTATATATTTTTATGTATAAAAAAAATGTTACAATATATTTTACAACTGGATTGTGTTTTAAATTATAAAATCACATCGTAAGGTAAGGTTAACTTACAATTAACCACTTAACACGTTTTTACTGTGGTATTTTGCCTTCTTTTCCATTATAATTACGAATATTTTTATAGCCTATGTAGCCGAGTCAGACGTACAGGCAATCATATTTACAGTTATTTCAGCAGGAGGATCTGTGCAGTCTGACAACAGGTCCAAAAGGGCGGCAGCATCGAAACTGTGTAATGGGGAAATCTCGTTTGATTCAGTGAACCTCGCTCGGTTCAAGTCCTGCATCCCAAAATGAGCCCAGGGCGGGGGCTTATCGCGCGCCTCTTAAGCATTAATGACACTGCAATTGTCTGGCCTCTGGGCTGTCTGTCAACTGATCTCAACCAATCATTTCATGCTTGAATTCCTATGTGTTTACTGTCAGGTTTACACGGGGCTACTTAGCAAGATAACAACCGACCCCTTTCACAGATGGATCTTACACAACATATCATATGCGATTAATGTAGAGAAGGCAGCCTTATTTACCGTATTTGCGAAACGATTGCCTTGCTATCAGTAGCTACTGTAGATGGAGTCTCGAACAACCCACAATCATCCTAATAGCGATTTACAGTCTTACAACAACGGGATCCTACAAAACATATAGCTGCCATTTAAAATCTACTTTGAAACAATAACAATTTTCCTCCATTTTTCCTTTCCTTTGATTAAAATTGGCGATGACTCAGATGCGCAAAACAGCCAATAATCAACCACCATCTGCTCAAACTGAGCGAGAAAGACACCTTTAACACGCCTCTACCGCGCTCTCTTTCAGACGCTGAGAATAGGGAACATAGGGAGTCATCAAATATCGCTTAAGATGAAGCAAAGGCCAGCTGTAAACACGAATGAATCGGCCATAGAGCGAAATTACACAGAAATGAAGCCCAGCTGCATCATCTCACCTGCGCGTGACTGCATTGAGCGCGTGAAGCACAACCATAACTCTCACCGAAAACGGCTCATAACCTCAAATACGCCTTCGAATTACATTTACACAATCCTTAATTATTTTACCTTGAGAAATGGACCATTGTGCGCCCCTTGAGAGGATAACCTCACCGATGAATCTGGTTGATTTCCTCCACATCGATTCAGGCTTCCATCTGATTAAAAAAATTAATAAAAAAAAAAAAATCACTGCATCGGTGTCGAATGAGCAGAAGAAATGGGAGCGATAAAATTGCGTATGCGGATCTCCAATAGATCAAGTCCCAATAGATAAAAAAAAAAAAAAATTATCAAAATGGAGCCAACAACCAATTAAGATTCAGTACAAAACGGTTCAAGCTTAAGAAATTCTCCAAAGTAAATGTTAGTTAGTTTTTTTTTTCGGTGTATATAAAATAGAAGATATCGCTCCCTGTTCCGTGTGCAAGACAAGGTGCGATGTGTTTCTCAGGCGAGCTTTGCCAGGGACTGTCAGCACATCGCGTCACGTGTCTCCCGGTTAGTGTGTGATGAGACGGGCGGGGCGAGAGCGCTGCAGCACCTTGGACAGCGCTCACCGTTATTAGCAACTCCACATACAGATGAGGAAACAGCTTTATCCGTGATCGTAATCGTGTCCGCCACGAATAAAAGCTTTTGCTCACACTTTACATTACAGTGTGCATGTTGATAGGTAATATCGTCAGTTAAGGAGTCATTTGACTGCATGCAGTTTATTTGTAATTTATTTTATAAATCTGTTTTTGATAATAAAATAGTCCATGATAGGCTATTGCTATTTAATTAAACGTTTAATTATACTTGCACCATATACGTGTAACATGGGCACTGTAATGTAAACTGTCAGTGTGCATTTATATTAAGTAATATGGAAGAACAACATCAGCATGGCTGTGATTTGGCCGTAGGCAGGAGCCCACAGGTAATAACAGTAATGCTGATATTCAGTGCTGCTGAAATGCTTATACAGAACAATTCTTTAAACAAGTACAGCAATTAATATAAAAAAAACTTACGTTCCAAACTGATTAGTCAGTATATTTGTTTTCCACCAACTAAATTAGTTCCAAAAGAAATGTCAAGCTGTGTTTGTCGCCAAGCAACACCAAGACTAAAAGACGGTCTGGAATAGTGTATATGAGTGGAGCAGAGTGACAGATTTGTTTCCTGTTGAAAGCGTTATATCTCCACTTTTCTTTTACAACTCCTAATGAGAGAAACCTGAGAGATCTTGTTGCTATTGAATCACAACGTACAAATAAATAAATAAATAAATAAAAATAGCTGCAGATAAAAAATAATACTCATCCCTCTAATTTTGTTTTGGTCATAGTTGTATTCTTCTGGCATACAATCTTTGTTACAACTCTTTCCATTTTTTTTTTTT